AATAAAGGTCTTTCAGGCAATGATCAAAACTGAGTTCTTCCATCCATCATTATTGCTTGAAAAAACACAGAAACGAAGTGTACAAGAGCTTTATGCAGAACACGTAAAACTTTAGATGTAACTTGATTGTTCCAGTTATCAAGAAATAATTTTAATCTATTGTTCTACTGAAGATTTGCCAAAGAAATCCAAAATCTCAATTCAGAAGCCTAATAGTGACAGTAAACCAACTATTGTGATTTTATCCATCAGTTACTTGAAACTGCTTGTATATTCTCAATATATATGTTTCAATTCTCATATATGTGTTCTCATGCCTACATGACCTTGCATACACTACCACTTAGCAGCAACATCAAAAAATAAATTTAATAGTGGGAAAAAACTTTAAAATCATCGTCAAATTGAATGTCACATCTCCCTAACTCCTTGAGTGGTCCATTTAAGAATCCATTTTAGCTACTCTTCCAGATAAGCTTATCCTTAGGAATCATACATTTCCCCATAGGTAGAAAACAAATAGAAATTGTCATGTATTGTGCTACATAGACATTTCTGCACAGTTGCTGCACTACACTAGAATGTCTGAAGGGGAAGACACCCCAGGTAGTTGGCTGCAGACACGTCGCGGCAACATGGCGCGTAGCTACAATTTGACACATATAGTCTTTATAAATCCAATGTCTATGAAGTCAAACAAATCTCCTTATTTATAGTAACAGGCAAGAGCAGATCTCTGCCGTCTTGTTACACAGATGGTTGTAACATTTTTATAGTTAACTTACAACCACTGATGCCTGAGGAATAGACACACATCTGCCCCAAACTGCCAGTCCTGTAGGCTCTTCTTTTTAACTTTAGCTACCAAAAATACAGTCGAAATACACGTAACACCATCACCCCCAAAAAGCTACCACAACAAAAAGCCCCATAGAAATTTGCATAAAATGTATTATTATTGTTAATGTTACACAGATTGGACAGTGATCACACACATTACAGCAAAGATAACAGTAATACCAACTCTAATCATCAAAACCAAAGTTTTAGAGAAAATTCATGGTCCCAGATCCCATATATTGAACTTAGTTTGGAAAAATGTTTGGAAAAAACTAATCAAAAGCTTCTAAATTTATGTTTTAATAAAAAGGTTTCAAAAGAGCCTCATACTTCATACAAACTACTGTCCACATGCTTTTTTTCATGCTGCTTGACAAAAGTAAAGGCATGGCTGGCTCATCTTGAAAAAACAATTGCCTAGGATTTTCTTCTCCTTCTTGAAGACACTACTCCGTATTTGCTGTATTTCCACACATGATCTGGGTCTTTACAGGAAATGTACACAGAAAAGAGCTAGCTATATTAAATTAAATGCTTCCCATTTTAGACACTGGTTGTCCACAGAAGAAAATCTCTAAATGAATGACTTACAACCAAATGCTTTCTTTACAAGAAGAAGAACAGATGCAGAAAAGCAAAGCCAAAATTGAACCTTGTACCTACAAGAGTTGTTAACTAAGTTCAGTGAAAGCTTAAATACCCTGATGAAATCCTGACCCATGGAAGCTTGGGCAAAATATTACTTATTCATAAACATGTTCCATCAGTAATAGATCTAAGCAGATTCT